CTTCGTCCAGGACCTTTTGAAGCTCTTGGCAGCGACTTTGGTTTGGGAAGGGGGGGGTGCGAAACCGGGTTTCCGAGGCTTGAGACCCTTAGATCTTCGGCCCTAAACTGGAGTTTAGGGTTTAGGGTTTAGGGTTTAGGGTTTAGGGTGGAACCCTCAACCCGTCCGGCAGGCCCCCCAGCCCACTGACGCGGTGGAGACCGGCTCCTTGCAGAATTCAGCTGGATTTCTGGCTTTTGGGGGTTTCAGGGTTTCGGGCATGGGGGGTATACTCTTTAGCAGACGCAGCGTTTCAATGGGCCTCGTGGCATGCAGAGGGTTCAGGGCGCTGTGCGGATCTGGCACACGGTAGGTGTTTCAGACATCTGTGGGAGTTGTGAACAGCTGCTCTGCCATGAGGCATCTGTGCAGGAACCTACCAGGTAGTATCCTAGGGTCTCCAAAAGACATGGTCCCCCTGGATAGTACAGTCGTTTAATTTGCATTTGCGGATCTGGAATTTTGGAAAACTCTCCTAAACCCTAAACCCTAAACCCTCACTTTGGAACGGTGGGATGTCTTCTCAGAAATGAGCGCAAGGAAACGACCGGGTGGCTTGGTGTTGCTGTTTCCGGTATCGCTGCATTTGGGAAGCAGGCGCGTGAAACCCCTCTTTGAGATGAAGCCTGAAAGAGTGTTTCGGGTTTTTTGGTTTAGGGTTTAGGGTTTAGGGTTTGGGTTTAGGGTTTAGGGTTTAGGGTTTAGGGTTAGGGTTTAGGGTTTAGGGTTTAGGGTCAGTGTGCATGCCCAGGCGCTGAGGGCGGCATTGATTGGGGCGCGGTCTCCTTCGAAGGCTTGGAGGTGTCGGTGGAGGCGCAGCGTTTGCCTTTCTGCACAGTCTGAAAAAGCAAGCTACACCTGCCTGATTTCCTGTTTAGGGTTTAGGGTTTAGGGTTTAGGGTTTAGGGTTTAGGGTTTAGGGTTGCTGAGACGCCTTCCCCCCCCCCATTGGCTGGAGGGCTCCAGCAGCCAACCTGTGTTGGCAGTTTTGCTATGGGGATGTGGAGGAAGCCCGAGCAGTGTCTTCGAAAGTACCTTGGTACAAAGGTGCAAGGATATAAGAAATGCAAAAGATTTATGATATGTATAGAGAGAGAGAGAGAGACGTAGATATGTTATTATTATTACTACTATTATTATTATTTATATTATATATATATATAAGTATCGAAGATATATTATATGTTGTTATCTCAGTATAGTTGTTTCAAAAATATATAATCGATGATGCACACTCTATATTTTCTTATGCAGAATCTGTGATATGTAATATTTGATATAGAAAGAAACCTTACATTAGATATTCGATCTGCGCAAAGGTTAAGAGGAGGGACCCTTCAAAGCCCTAAACTTCTGCAGCAAGACTCCAAAAGGCGCCCGACGACTCGGCGCCCGTGGGAGGGGAGCTCCTGACGGACTCTGCTGTGCGGGGCTGAGCGCTGGGCGCGTATAGGGGTTTAGGGTTTAGGGTTGAAGGTTTAGGGTTTAGGGTTTAGGGCTTCGGGCGGCTTAATTCGGGATCTGAGGGGCCGCATTTCGGGCTGAGGGACTTCCAGGATGTGGGTTTTGCTATGAGGGCCGCTGCAAGAGCCGTCCCAGGTGTTAAGAAGCCCACCGAGAAATGAGCATTCAACATGGTCGTGCCTTCAACATCCTACCCTGCACCGTCAACCCTAAACCCTGAAGTTATGTGAGGGCCCTCAACCCTGCCCGCGAAAAGGGGAAAAATCGGTCGTATAGACTTGGCAACAGGAGATTCCGACGGCGGTGCGGAAGTCCTGTGCTCCCTAAACCCTAAACCCTGAACCCTAACCCCTAACCCTAAACCCTCAACCCTAAACCCTGAAGCTGCAACTTTCCCCAAAACTGGGCCAGCGAGCAATTCCAGCAGCCAGGTTTTGGGGGCGGCTTCGTGGCCTTTTTCTGGGTGGTTCTTGGTAAGGAATGCGGGAATGAGGTACCCTGTACAATCTCTTAAAGGATCTATGTAGGGCCCGAATTCCTACCAAGAAGCAAGGGGGTCCCTAAACACCAAACCCTCAACCCTAAGCTTTTTTTGTGCTTTGGGGAGTTGAAGGTTGCGGTTTAGGGTTTAGGGTTTAGGGTTTAGGGTTTAGGGTTCAGGGTTCAGGGTTCAGGGTTCAGGGTTCAGGGTTCAGGTTTAGGGTTTAGGGTTTAGGGTTAAGGGTTTAGGGTTTAGGGTTTAGGGTGGGTTCAAGTCGAAGACCAGGCCCGTGAGCTGCTGACCAGGGACGTGGCTGAGGCCATCGTCCCTCTGAGGTTTAGGGTTTAGGGCTTAGGGTTTAGGGTTTAGGGCTTAGGGCTGAGGGCTTAGGGCTTAGGGCTCAGGGTTCGGGTCGTCAGTGAGCTTACTGTGGCATACTGGGTTTTCGAGAATCTGTGATTCATTCATTCCGTTTAATAGAAGTGCCGTAGTTCTTCAGGTTTCTTCTCCTTTACAGGGCGGGTTTAAGGTTTAGGGTTTAGGGTTTAGGGTTTACAGGGCGTAAAAGCCTTTCCAGACGCCTTTTTATGACCAAAGCGAAGCAAATTTGTCGCCCGAAGCCTGGGCTTTGGCCCCCCCAGCACGAGAAGGGTTTAGGGTTTAGGGTTTAGGGTTTAGGGTTTAGGGTTCAGGGTTCAGGGTTTAGGGTTTAGGGTTTAGGGTTTAGGGGTTTAGGGGTTTAGGGGTTTAGGGGTTTAGGGGTTTAGGGGTTTCTCTTATCGATGGTTCCTAAACCCCTGCATCAGGCCTAGCGGTGAACAGTCCTCAAACAGCAATCGAGCCCGAAACCCTGGAAACCTCAACAACCGCAACCTCTTGTTCAAGTTGCATGGCCCCAAAACCCTAAACCCTAATCCCTAATTCCGAAACCCTAATCCCTAAACCCTAATCCCTAATCCCTAAACCCTAATCCCTCATCCCTAGAAACCCTAAACCCTAAACCCGAAAACGCCCCCCCCGGCCAGGCTGCAGCTTTCCTTGCCGAGCGCACCTCCGACCTCTCGGCCGGCGGCGCTGCCTCCGAGGTCACTCCAGTGCTTTATTAGGGTTTAAGGTTTTAGGGTTTTAGGGTTTTAGGGTTTTAGGGTTTTAGGGTTTTAGGGTTTTAGGGTTTAGGGTTTAGGGTTTTTGGGTTTTAGGCTTTTAGGGTTTTTGGGGTTTTAGGGTTTTAGGGCTTTAGGGTTTAAGGGTTTTAGGGTTTTAGGGTTTGAGGGTTTTAGGGTTTTAGGGTTTTAGGGTTTTAGGGTTTTAGGGTTTAGGGTTTAGGGTTTAGGGTTTTTGGGTTTTAGGCTTTTAGGGTTTTTGGGGTTTTAGGGTTTTAGGGTTTTAGGGTTTTAGGGTTTTAGGGTTTTAGGGTTTTAGGGTTTTAGGGTTTTAGGGTTTTAGGGTTTTAGGGTTTTAGGGTTTTAGGGTTTTAGGGTTTTAGGGTAGGGTTTTAGGGTTTAGGGTTTTAGGGTTTTAGGGTTTTAGGGTCTTAGGGTCTTAGGGTTTCAGGGTTTTAGGGTTTTAGGGTTTCGGGTTTCGGGTTTAGGGGTATAGGGTTTCGGGTTTAGCAGTTTAGAGGCTTCAGGGGGTTTAGCAGGTTTAGGGGGTTTAGGGGGATTAATTAGGGGGTTTAGAGGGTTTAGGGGTTGAAGGGCTTCAGGGTTTAGTCTTCGGGGTTTTCGGGATTAGGGCTTAGGGTCGTTCGGGTTATTTTGGCTTAAAGGTTTTGGGCCCAACCTAAACCCTAAACCCCCAGGGTTGCAGTCCATGAGATTACAGGAATGGCCCGCCAGCTGGCCCTTACTCCCTCTTGTCTTGGGCTAAGCCCTAAACCCTAAAGCCTAAACCCTAAACCCTTAACCCTAAAGCCTTAACCCTTAACCCTTAACCCTTAACCCTTAACCCTTAACCCTTAACCCTTAACCCTTAACCCTTAACCCTTAACCCTTAACCCTTAACCCTTAACCCTAGCCCTAAACCCCAAACAAACGTAGCTTTGCGCAGTATTCCTTGTGTTGCCCGAGTGACTTGAAAGACTAGAAGGGTGGGGGGTGGCTCTAACCCTACAGTCTACCTTATAGAATCCCCTAAGGCTTTGTATGGGGGATATGAGGTGCCTCAGTTCCTGCTTAGAACCAGTAGGGTTGGTACTAGTGGGTCCAAGAAGCTTGTAAGGGCTCATTCTCCTAAACCCTGAAAGGCCCAGAGGCCTCGAACCAAAGACCCTACACCCAAAAACCAAAGACCCCAAACCCGAAGTATCCCTAAGCCCTAAGCCTGAACAACATCTAACAACCACTACGCGCCTGAGGTTTAGGTAGGAGGGGCGCGGGGACTTCCAAAATCTGACACCTGTCAACCAAGCCCCTATCAGCACATACCTCAGGCCATACCCTCAGTAGGTTCAGCCTTCAGGGATTATGGTTTGTTTGCGGTGCTTGGGGTGAGGGGATCCCGCTGCTTGGAGGAGTATGGCCCGCGGGACGAGCAACGATCGCTACGAGAGGTTCCATGATGGATTGTTGTATTTTGGGGCAGTTTTAGGGGCACCCCATATTTTGGGGAATACCCATATGAGCCCCTGGTTTGCCGTAGCTTTGGGTCCTGATGTACTACTAGAGACATGTTCGGGGTCCCCGAGTCGGAACAGCAGAATTCTTTGGATCTGAGGCTGGAAGTGGGTGCTCCTCCCTGTGTCTTTTGATAGGCCATGACACAGGAGCATGATTAGAGAGGTACACCAGAATCAGTTAGAACAAACGAGAAGTCACTCAGAAGAAAGTACCTCATGCAAAATGCTGGTTGCTGAGATGTTGTGCCCTTCACTTGGGAGGGCTGCCTGGAAACCAAAACGGGCACCCTTCTTATTCCTAGCAGCGGTTCGTCTTAGCCCAAATTCAGAAATTCCGGAAGACCCCTTTATTTCTCTACTCAACCACGACTGCTGCTTAGGGTGCCGAATGTTTTTCAGGTGGAGGCCTTTCGAAGCTCCGTGAACCGGGTGGAGGCCCTCTCACCGCAGCGAGGGTTTAGGGTTTAGTAGGGTTTAGGGTTTAGGGTTTAGGATTTAGGGTTTAGGGTTTCGGGTTTAGGGTTTCGGGTTTCGGGTTTAGGGGGTTCTGGGGGTTTGGGTTTCTTGGGCCTTGAACTTTCGGATTCCGCTTTTGGGGGCCTTTTCGGCTTTGAGGGCTTGCATTGAAAGTGTGAAGCCCCCTGAACGCACAGACCGAGGATCAGCTTGCCTGAGACCATTGTACTTGTGCACCCGAGGTGAATGAACGGAGTGATTGGTTGTCAGGCACAGTCAACAAGCTCTTCAGATCCAAGCTGGCCCGCCTCAATAGCATTAGGAAGCTTCTTCTGTCTCTGTGATTCTTGGAGAAGTGCCTGTAGTGGCGACCTTTTCCTGACCCTTTTCGTCTTGTGCCAAGATTTCTCTCTTGTGACGCACTTCTCTTGATGTCGCTTCTTGGCCCGCCTTGGTTCTTCAGCCAATTTACGCTGTCTCCTAGTGTGTGTTTTGTAAAGATGGTCAACTTGTAGTATTCCATATTCATCAAGTGGCCATAAAATGTATTTTTCAAGGGGTCCGAAGATGAGTTGAGAGTGGCTCCTACGTCCGAAGCCCTCTAACCCTCTAAGCCCCTTAACCCTCTAAACTCCACCCTAAACCCTCTAAACCCTAGGCCCTAAGTAAACCCTAAACCCTAAGCCCACTAAACCTTAAACACTAAACCCTAAACCACTTGGCCCTGAACCCCTATAAACCCTAAACCCTAAACCCCTTATCCCCTAAACCCCAAAAATGCCGCACGGGAGGCACTTCTCGCGGCGCGGCGCACGCAGCGCCTGGTTCTCCTGAGCACCTCCCAGCGCTACCTGGCCGGGGTCCCCGGCGGAGGGTTGAGGGTTTGGGGTTGAGGGTTTTAGGGTTTTAGGGTTCAGGGTTTAGGGTGTAGGGTTCAGGGTTTGGGGTTCAGGATTCAATCACAAGGAGGCTTCATCCACACAAATCTTCCAAGTTTAAACGGTTACTTACAAGGGGCATGTATGGGCCCTGCTTTCATGTAGATCATCTTACTGGTGCTTAAGGGAGAGTGGAAGAATGAATATAGGGACTCTTATAAAGGGATTATATAGGGACTACTATAGGGTTTCACTCTTCCACTCTCCCTTAAGCACCAGTAAGTCATTGGGATGATTAAGCTGGGGGTGGGTGGGGGGGTGGGTGCAGGGGTAGCATAAGGTTCCATGAATTGAAGCTCTACTCCAGCATCCCCCCAGCTGGCCTGAAGAAGAGGTTGCCCCAAGCAATTTAGGGTTGAGGGTTTAGGGTTTAGGGTTTAGGGTTTAGGGTTTAGGGTTTAGGGTTTAGGGGGTGTTTCACAAGTAAGTCCCAAAAATCTTCGGGTTTGCTGAGGGCTTATAATCTTCAGGACTTTCTTTCGGGCGTGGCGAAGAAGCAGCAGGCTCTGACTTCCAGATCCGGTCTCGGGGGGGGGGGGGGGGGGGGGGGGGTGTTTCGGTTGACGGCTTTGTTTGTCGGAGGGCCCTGGGTCAGTGAAGAGACCTTCACTTCTTCTTCACGGGCTTCTTGGGTAGCCAAGTCCGACGAGTGCAACTATCAAGACCCTCAACACCAACCCCCCGCCCAAACACACAGGAACCCCGAACTCCTGAAGTTTCTTCCTTCAGGAGCGCACGGCGCGGAGAGTTCAGGCAAGGTGGGGGGGAGGGGGCTTCTTGGTACGAAGTTCGGGACTGGGGGACCTCATGCCCCCTAGACAAACAGTGCATCAGGGACTAACCCCCCCCGTTGTTAGGTCAAGTGGGCAGCGAATGTTTGGGTCATCTTGGGCGACACGTCGTGGAAGCTAGCGGAGGGGGGGGGGGGGGGCAAAAGGGTCCCTACACCTGAATGGACCCCTTGGCAGCTGAGGACTCCCCATTGTCCTGAAGCCCTTCCCCCCACGCCCTCCGAGCTTTGAGCCCGAAGCTCACATGAGAAGGTGGCGAAGCAGCAGCCTTGGCCTCAGCAAGACTTGCAACACAGAGTCAGTTTATGTGGGCTTCTCATGGTGGTGATATACGAAGAGGCAGATCAGAAGAGGCAGATGGCCCGAAAAGAGCGGAGGTGCGGGAAGCCGGGACAGCGTAAGTTGGAGCTCGCCAAGGCCGGGGCAGCCTTTCAGGGGTGCCGGTGCTGGAAGGGGTCTTTAAGTGGGCACCTGGAACCGGTTTAGGGTTTTGGGTTTTGGGTTTAGGGTTTAGGGTTAGGGTTTAGCCACCCGACGTAATGAACTCCGAAACCAAAGCGTCTTGGTTGGATACAGTTTTTTTGGGGTCGGAATAATGACTCATGGTATTGACGAAGGGTATTCCCTGCTGGTCCCTTCAGAATTGTCCTATTTTAACCCCCGCAACCCCATTCTAATTATTGACCCTAAACCCTAAACCCTAAATCCCCCACAGTACCTCCGAGCTTTGCATCGGCAGGTGAAGGCGGAGCAGCTGGCCGAGGCCAAGCGGACCCGGGCGGAGATCGAGAAGCTCCCGGGCTCCAAGCACTTCTTTACCGGGGGGGTTTCGGGGGTTAGGGTTTAGGGTTTAGGGTTTGGGGTTTAGGGTTTAGGGTTTAGGGTTTTTCGGTTTCCGAAAATAGGGGTACTCCTTTTTGGGGGGGTCCCTTTTAGGGTTTGGGGTTTAGGGTTTAGGGTTTTAGGGTTCTATCTGCTTGGGGTATGAAAAGGGTTACCCCTATTTTGGGTGTAGGCCTGGAGGTTGACGCATTGGAAGCACCCGAAATCCAGACAGGCAGATTCAATTGGGTTTAGGGTTTAGGGTTGAGGGTTGAGGGTTTAGAGGCTTCGTCTGATGGAGCTGTCTGGTGAGTACAGCTCGTGGTAGAAGCTGTATGGGGGCGGGGGCTTTCTCACGCTCATCCTCCTCGACTCCATATGATGGTCACGCTGGCCTGATTTCTTTGTCAGTGGAAATGGCAAGCGGCAGGTTGCCTGACACATGTGTTGAGCTAGGCATGCCTCGCAAGTCATGACACCCCTCATGTTCGTGATGCGCTGAGCCCCGTCAAGCCGGTGACTTTGAGCTCTCCGGTGAGCAAGAAGCAGCATCTCTGTGCGCCATGTCGGAACTGTGGGGCTCGCAATCCAGCCGGAGCGAGCTGGCAGAGTTCACACGGCAGCTATCGTTTATGGACAACGCGACCTTTGCTCTCAAAGGACAAGTGCACTTGTTGAGGCAGAGTCTCAAGACGACCCCAGACGACGCGCTGCAGCAAAAGCTGAAGTTCCTCGAGGGTGTTGTTCAGGGCAGCTCACGACTGAAGACGGCCGTGGAGTTGAAACAGCTGGGCATCAAGGAAGAGTACTCGGATCTCATTGCCTTTGAAGTTGTGGACGGATCTTCCAGGTTGGAGGAACTCCATGAGGTCTACAGCAAGATGACTCAACTCTTGGCAGTGTCTGTGCACAACATTCACAAGATCCTCGGCACCCCAACCAACTGGGACTCAGATTGCGGCGCTCGAGTCGTGGCTCCAGAGGCAGCCAAAGCCTCGTGCGTGGTGGCTGGCAGCGCAGCGGCTTTGGCTGGGGCACTGGCCCTGCTGGCGGATGCTGCAAGTGCAGCTCGTGGACGGTGATGGAGCATGTTCTTGTCGGCGCTGGTCTTGGTGCTGGTGGATCCTTGCTTTTGCTTTTCCTCTTTGCTGGGTATGAGTGCATACCGGCAGAACCAACCCAAGTCAGACACGCAACGGGTTGAGGAGATGGTTGAAAGATTGAAGACGATTCCGGACCGCCAGTACATCAACCAGCTGGATGACCTGATTGCGGATTGCCTCATCGTTGGGGATCAGTAATGATAACACTAATGATGGCTGGCATGCTCATAGCCTCACTAATGCATCTTGTGCGCATCGTTAGCATCGGCCCCCCCCCCGCTCCCCCTCCCCCCGCCTCCCAGCCTCTAGTAGTTTGGGCATGTTCTATTTAATCGTTGCTATTTCGCCTGGCGCTGGCTGAGGTCAAGTGTACCCTTGCACTCCACCCCACTTCACAGTCCTGAATCGCGCCGCGATAACCCTGTCCCGTATGTGTAAGACGTAGATGTAGATTCAGTGTAGATAAAGTACATACTCTATGAACCCACTTGCCACTCATGCAAAAACTTGAGTGTTAAGCTTCAAACGCTGGAGGCATGAGCCATCTGTATCAGACCTTGCAGCGAACATGTAGTGTTTTACATGTGGGTGGTCTGATATATGAGGCATTTTAGGATCTCAAGTTGAGGCCACCACCAAACCTCACAAGTTAACCCTAAATTCTCCAGGCTACGTTTGGTGCCTGTTGATCCTATCGGCCCTTCTTTGTGGGTTCAAACACCCCTAAACCCCTATAAACCCCTAAACCCGACAAAAAAATCCGCAGAGCCGAGGCTGAGAGACATGACCCTGGCGGTGAAGGGGGATCTGGAGGCATCGCAGTGCCCTCCCCCAACAAAGAGCATTTTCGGGTTTAGTGTTTAGGGGAGCCGTCTCATGTCAGGGCCGCGAACACGACCTGATCAGCCACTCAAAGGACCTCCAACTTCGAATACCTAAGAGGCAACTTCACAGGTCGTGCTGTCGATCTGCACTTTTGCCATCCTACCTGTACAAGAAGCCCTGAACCCCAAACCCTAACCCCTCAGCCCCAAACTCCAAACCCCAAATCTGAAGCTTCTTGTATATGTATAAAGACATGAAAATACGAAAAAGTGTATGTGTACATAATCTTAAGATTAGAATATATATATATATATATATATAATATTGTATAATATATATATATATATATATATATATATATTATACATACACATACACATATTATATTTTTCTATAGTTCATATATCGTGTATAATATAATGTAGCTTCATATCATTCATTATAGTATAATATAGTAGAATATAGTCAATTTGATACAATGTAATATAGTACAATATAATATGTGTATATATGTACGTATATATATATATATGTATATTATACAATATGATATGTGTATATATGTACATATGTACATATAGATGATTCATATCTTTAAAATGGCTTACGCAGGCCGAGCTCTCGGCGCACTTGAAGCGCCTGTGCTGCAGGGCCATCCCGGGAGGGCTTGTTTGGGGTTTAGGGTTTAGGGTTTAGGGTTTAGGGTTTAGGGTTTAGGGCTTGTTTGGGGTTTAGGGTTTAGGGTTTAGGGTTTAGAGTTTAGGGCTTGTTTGGGGTTTAGGGTTTAGGGTTTAGGGTTTAGGGCTTGTTTGGGGTTTAGGGTTTAGGGTTTAGGGTTTAGGGCTTGTTTGGGGTTTAGGGTTTAGGGCTTGTTTGGGGTTTAGGGTTTAGGGCTTGTTTGGGGTTTAGGGTTTAGGGCGGGGTTTAGGGCGTAGGGCTTGTTTGGGGTTTAGGGTTTAGGGCTTATAGGGTTTAGGGTTTAGGGCTTATAGGGTTTAGGGTTTCGGGTTTCTAGGGTTTCGGGTTTAGGGTTTCGGGTTTAGGGTTTCTAGGGTTTCGGGCTTAGGGTGTAGGGTTTAGGGTTTTAGGGTTCCCATTTTCCGTTGTAAACCCACCCTCTCCTCCCCTGCCCACAAAATACTGGAGGGTTTGGAGGTTTTGGGGCTTTGGAGTTTACGGGCTGGGAATATCAGATTTTGGGTAAAACAGCCCCGAGTAGGAACTCAGGATGTGCTAAAACCTCAATTTGCAGGCCGCTTTTCTCCAACGGTACGCGGCGTACGTGTGAAATTCCGGGCATGGGCAGGGTGTAGAAGTACTTTGGGCCTTCGAACTTCAACACCGAAAGGAGAAAAAAAAGAGAGAAAGAAGACCCAAACCCTAAACCCTAAACCGCCTAATCTCCCTGAACCCTATAGCCCTAATATCCCTAAACCCTGAACCCTATCTCCCTAAACCCTAAACCCTATAGCCCTAAACCCTAAACCCTATCTCCCTAAACCCTAAACCCTAAACCCCAAACCCTACACCGAGATCGGCCGTCCGCATCGTGGGAGAGATCGCGCAGATCTGACCTGCAAGATCCGGGGGAGGGGTTGATAAGTGTAGTAGTAGGAGTAGTAATAAGAAAAATAGGGTTCAGGGTTTAGGGTTTAGGGTTTAGGGTTTGTGTAGGGTTCAGGGTTTACGGCTTAGGGTATAGGGAGAATATTGCTTCGTGATAGTAGTGACAGTGAGAATGATACTGAGACTCATGATCAGAATAGGCTCTCAACATCTTCAGCTCAAGATGTCCCATTTGCCCTCTTTTATCACTCCCCTGACCCTCATGCTCTGCACTTGAGAAGCGGTGTGGCGTTCTGGGGCTCTAGGCCTTGGATCCCCGAGTCCTGCTCCTGATCCGCTCGAATGCTTCGAAAAGGAGGACTTTGCCCTTAGCCTTCTGTTTTTGCGAGGACCATGTCAAGATCAAGTCTCGCTCTTTGTTCTACTACTTGCTGAAGAACCCCCCCAAAAATCCTAGAAAGCATTATTTCTTGTAAGGGCAATAAAGGGATTAATGTTTTTTTGTCAGGTTTCGGCATCCCAGTCTCTAGAGGGCCGAATGTGCCACAATGGGACAACCCTTGCTTTCCTGAAAGCAACTGCCATTGGAATCCTTCTCGGCTCTTTCTCAAGGGGGAGCGTGCTCTCTTCCACAGCCAAGCCCATCCAAAATTTCAACCGCTGAGCCCTTGGGTCTCAAGCACACGACGCCCAAGTAGTGACAAGTGTTGTCGAAGTGCAGCAGAGGCAGAGGTGGCCCTGGTAGCAGTAGACTCGGCAGACGATGCGATACGCCCGAAGCCCTACACCCCCTAACCCTCAACCCCACTGGACGGTGGCCAAAAAGCTACGTGAAGCCTGCCCCGGACCCCTAAACCCTAAACCCTAAACCTGAACCCTGTGGGGGTACCATCCAAACACAGCTCTGCATGGCCCATGCTGTCACTGGCTGGCACCGCATCAGCCGCGAGGCAGATCTCTCTGTTTCAAAGGTGCCCTTTTGGGTTTTGGGTTTTGGGTTTTGGGTTTTGGGTTTTGGGGGTACGGTGATTCTCTAAATTAGGGTCCCATTTTTGGGGACCCCTACTGTAGTACCGTACCTTACAAAAAGGACTGGAAGAGGAGCTTGCGCTCTTGGCAGAGGGCATTGTGCAACAGCCGTTTTGGCCCGCACTTTGCTGCTATAAGCACACGCAACATCTCCAATTAGCTCGATTATCCAGAAGAGTAGAGTGGAGTGGGGGTCGTGCCGCATGAGTTTTTAGCCATGGTAGACCTATCCAGACCTAGGGTTTTGGAGGAGCTCAAGCACTGGAGTAAAGACATTATAAAGTCATCCTCGCAAGCCCTCATGAAGCCGCCATGAAGCCTTTGGTAGTACCCCTTTGCCCTTTCTTGTGATTCATTGTTCCCTTTTCAAATAACCAAGCCCAACAAGGGTACCCTTGCTGTAATGTGATGTCTGGGCTACCAAGGAAAGACCCAAGACGTCCTTGCTATTCTACGAGGAAGTTCCGGGAACCCCTTTATTTCAAAAAGGCGACGCAAGTTTGAGGTCCAGACAGCGGTGAGCACGGTCAGCTTCTACATGAAGATTCCTCATACATCCACTATACCCAAAGATCAGCAACAAGCCACAACTTCCCTGAAGTCTACGAAGACCCCAAAAAAAAAAATGCGGCCCGAAAAAGCGCCCCGAGCTTTGCAGAGGAGCTCTGGGCGCACCGCTGGCGCATGTGCCCCGAGGGAGTTGGCCAGGGCTGCTGGGCTCCTGGGCAGTCAATTGCCCTTTTGGGTTTTAAGGACCCATTCCCAGCCTCTTTAAACCAAAAGGGGCGCCCTTTGTCTTTTTTTAGGGGGTTCAAGGGCTTCTCCGGTTGGTGTGGGTTTTTTTGAGAGTTTAGGGGCTTAAGTGGTTTTAAGATATGGTGAGCTCTTCTAAATCATGGTCCCTTCTTGGGCGCCCTGGATAATAGGGTCGCCTTCTTCCTACGGAAGCCATGTTGCAACCCCAAGAGGGGCCCGAACTTCAAAATGGGAAAGCCTTGAGAAGGGCTCTTAGGTGTTGAGTCTATGTTGGGGGTACAAAAGTCCCCATGAGGGACAGCTAGAAACAGGGGGAACATGCCAAGTTGAGTCTCCCAACTTGCGGCGGGACTTGGGCACAGGGGTCCCCTTCCGGAACCTCTGAGTCAGGGCCAAGGATATAGGGGTTGATGGTTGAGGGTTTGGGGGCCCCAGTGCTCGTAATTCTTGAGAAAGAGGTGACTTGGGTGCCTTACATTCTGGACCTTAGCGGGTGGAGACCCGGGATGATGTCGATTTTGGTGGAGGGTGAAAGTTGGGGGGTCGCATTCCCTACCTGAAGGTCTGCTCCCTGTCGCACCCTTATTCCCCTTTTTGCGTGTGGGGTCTTAGGTTCTCCAGGAACCCGCACCCGAAACCCTAAACCCGAAACCCTAAGCCTTGTCACCTTGGCCTACAAGGTCAGCATCCATGGCATCGTCTTGGCGCTCAGCGCCGAGCCTTTCGACCGCGTCAAGCCGCGTTAGCACCGCTGACTGAAGCTCTGAGCTGCAGTGAGGGTCACGCATATACGTCATTAAGCGTGTCTATTCATATGTGTATACATAATATATAAATATACATATGTATATATATATATGTATATATAACCCTCAACCCCTACACCCCAAACCCTGAACCCCCTGAGGTTCTTCGCCCGGCACCCGGGCGGCACGCAGGTCCTCCGCGACACCGCGGGCGGGGACGCGCCGGAGCCCCACCTTCGGAGTCAGAAAGGATTTTAGGATTTTAGGGTTTTAGAGTTTTCGGGTTTAGGGTTTTAGGGGTTTAGGAGTTTAGGGTTTAGGGGTTTGGGGTTTAGGGCTTAGGGTTTGAGGTTTTCGGGTGTAGGGGTTTAGGGTTTAGGGGCTTGGGGTTTTAGAGTTAAGGTTTTAGGGGTCTCGGGTTTTAAGCTTCAGGGCTTAGGGTTTTGTGGTTTAGGATTTAGGGTTTTAGGTTTTAGGATTTTGGGGTTGGGGCTTTAGGGTTTTGGGGTTTCGGTTTTAGGGTTTTGGGGTTTTAGGGTTAGGGGTTTAGGGGTTTAGGGTTTTAGGGGTTTTAGGGTTGAGGGTTGAGGGTTCAGGTTTTGGGGGTGCAGGGAGTTCGGGGGCTCATTTTCTGAAGCACCACACCACAAGAGATGCAAAAACCGGTCTAGTTGAGTTTAGGGTTTGGGGTCTAGGGCCTGTTCTCTCAGACTCTGACGACCGTGGGGCTTGCGCTGGAACTCGTCCGACCCCTGTGACCTTAAAGCTCAAGCCGCAAAGGCCAGAGGTGGGCTTCTGGTCTGAGGGTGCTTACCTGGTAAGACGGTCCCTGGCCTCCTGTACAGGGTTCTGAAGTATGTGCCCTTGGGTTTTGTAAGGGTATATACGAAATATGCAGGGAGTCCATCATTAAGGGACCAGGTAGCTACCCTGAGATCTGGGTTCAATGGAGGGTCTTTGTTCTTGGGATGCCTTCCCAGAGACTTGTTCGGGCCGACACCTCGAGCCAAATCTCCCACCCTAAGCCCTAAGACTTGAACCCTACACCCTGAAGGGCCCGACGTCCTAAACTGCATTCCCATACCCTAGCAGAAGCCCAATTTAAATGTGTGGGTGAGATCTTCAACGCACCAAGGTCTGAAATCTACCATTCGGTTGTGTTCGGTTCGGCTCATAAAGATAGGATTATCAGTCAGGGCAGGCGTAGAGGAATGCAGTTTCCTTATTGTTTAGAGGTCACCCCCAAACAGCATTACCCAGACATCTATCAACAGAACCACACCGCTCCAAGGACCACATTACAAGTACTCCCTCGTAGCCAAACAGCTGAGAAATCCCCAAATCGGGCAGACGCCCGGAACAAAAAAGCCCTAAACCCTAAACCCTAAAACCTAAACCCTAAACCCTAAACCCTAAACCCTAAACCCTAAACCCCTTCCCCTTCTTGAGGACAGCGGCCTTCGAGGCGGCGGCGCACTCGGAGCGCGCGCGGCGATGGGCCGACACCTTCGCAGTGGGCCGCTGGGCGCGGTTGGATAAGGGACGGCTTCAGATAGGTGTTTATGCCCTTTAACCCTAAACCCTAAACCCTAAGCACCTTAAACCCTAGACTCTAAACCCTCTTAAAAACAGTTCATTACGACGGTTATTGCGTCCAAAGCCTCATCGCCTTGTGCTCGCGGAAGCAGGTGGAAGGTTTCACGGGAGGCCATGGCCTGCCAATACACAAGGGGGGTCTCAGTCGCAGGGTTTGGTTAATACTGGACACAGAACCAACCCTGAATCCCTGACCCGGACAAGGTCCCGGCTGCGGATGCCCAATTGATGTCAACGTGGCCTGAAACATCAGCGTCCGCGAGGTTTGGTGGATTTCGAAGAATCCGCTGTTCTTGTAACAAAAGTGGCGCCTCCTTGGGGATTTGCTGCCAAAATGCATGAACGCGGCCCGATACATCAGCGTCCGCGAGGTTTGGAACGATCCGTGGCTGAGAGCGATAAACGGTGTCCACATTGGGGTTTCGTATCTTGTGATGTGTACTCTCTCGAATGATGCAAAACTTCGCTGCATGAGCGTCTTCACATTGGGGTGATGCGTATTTCAACGGCCTGATGTGTGTTAACCCCCCTCCCTTGTTGAGTTTATATGCGTCTCTTATACTAGGATGCCCAGTGGTGCCATTATTCCCTTTTTGGGGGCTCTAGGTTCCCCTAAAAACCCTTTTAAGCAAAAAAGGGCACCCTTTCCTCCCTCGAGTGCAGCGGTGTGTTTCGTCTGGCTGGGTGTCTTTCTTGGCTGCCCAGTACTTAGAGCTCTTGAAGGGTTTTGGGTGTTTGGGGCTTAAGGGTTTAGAGGTTTAGGGCTTTTAGGGTTGAGGGTTTAGGTAGGGTTTAGGGTTAGGGTTTAGGGTTTAGGGTTTAGGGTTTCGGGTTTAGGTCAACCCCTACGCCCTACACCCTAAACGCCACACTCCCAAGCCCCACGCCAAGCTGAGGATATTGCCCAGATGTCTACGCAAAGGCCCCTCAGCCAAAGGCATCTCTGTTCTTCCCACGCGTCAAAAAACTTCGAAGGTTTCGCCTTTGTATGAAAGACGGTGAGCAGGGTTTAGGGCTTAGGGTTTGGGGTTTAGGGTTTGGGGTTTTGGATTTGGGGTTTGGGGTTTAGAAGGGTGCTCGCCGAGGCTTCGGAATCCAATGGATTTAGTCGCTCTTCCCCCCCTGGCAGACAGAAGGCTTGATTAGGGTATGTATAGAGTAAGGAAGTTCAGGGTTTCGGGTTTAGGGTATAGGGTAAGTTTAGGGTTTAGGGTAAGTTTAGGGTTGTGGGGTCTGGGGTTTGGGGTTTATGGTTTCGTGTGGAGTCTCCTAGGGTGCACAAGCAGAGAGGAAGCAGCTTTGGCCCTCACTCTGGATTCATGCACCTCAGTCGCTTCTGTTTTTTTCGCCCTAAACCCTAAACCCTAAACCCTAAACCCTAAACCTGAAGCCCTAAGCCCTAAGCCCTAAGCCCTAAACCCTAAACCCTGAGCCGTCCTGCACCAGCCAATTGCTGAGGCCATCCCGGCATCCCTGTCACAGTCTCTGGTCCACGGCTCAAGTGCTTCAAGGTTCAGGGTGAGCACTTAGGCGAAGACCAACTTCGAAACAGGGTTTAGGATTTAGGGTAAAGGGTGTAGGGCTTAAAAGGTTTAGGCCCGAAGCCCTGGGCCCCACAAACCCTCCCTACTTATCAGGTACTTCCATAGCTCCCAGAGCTTTCACCTGCACCCTGGGCTCATGAAAATCTTGGCCCGGTCTCTTCGGTTTTGGTTTCGGGTGCCGCAACACTGACCGTATCCACCTCCCAGCCACTTCCTCCTGGCATCTCCCGGCAAAGAAATGCAAATACCGTGCGAAGCCAAGGTGTAACCAAATGCCAGGTCACAAGGGTGCCCAATACCCCCAAGCCCAAGTCTCCTGTCTCCTGTTGGATGCTTCGTCGTGCAGCCATTGGTTGACACAGTTCAGGACGGTAGTCTTCCTGCGCGATGGCGCCTGGATGCAAAGCGAGCGTTTTGCGAAATGATGCAAAAGGTCGGCGCGCTTGGATGGTTTGGTGCTTCGAGCACTGCCGTAAGATGGCAAATCAGAGCATGTATACCGACATGGCGCAGATCGCCCAAGAGTGCGGTCTGGAGCTGATCCTTAGAAGTCATAGGGTCTGCGTGTGAACGCCCAATTCGTTCATAGACCACGTCCCTCCCCTTTCTAGGGCCCTGATGCGAAAAATCCAAGGATCTACCACAAGAAGTGCGAAGGTTTCCTGCGATGGCTCGATGGCTTGGATGCAGGGGACACGGTGCTTTTGGTTGCAGATTGGCGTGAAGCCAAGCCCATCGTGGAAGGATTTCCCAGCAGAATGTACCCCCCCCCCCCCCCGCCGGCCCCACCCTCCGCCCTAATCCTTAAAAACTTTCGGAGTTCTGACCGCCATCATCCCAGATCTCCTGAAGCAGCAATATAGGAACGAACGCAAGCCCTTTGTGCGAGGACTACGCCGACGCCTTTTCCCGTATCTGTGGATGTGCGTCCTCACGCAGTCCCAGGCGTCCTACTTCCATGCATCTTCCTGGGCCGCCTCACACCCCTGCGGTCGAGAGATCCCCGTATTGGCAGTTTCTCGGTGTGAGAAATGGCTCGCGCATCAGCACGGGTCCAGTTCACACAGGGTTTAGGGTTTAGGGTTTTTGGGTTTTTGGGTTTTAGGGTTTTAGGGGTTTTAGGGTTTTTGGGGTTTTAGGGTTTTAGGGGTTTAGGGCTTCCGTGGAGATCTCGCAAGGAACTGAACAAAGAGCTCCTGCACGCTGCCGCAGGGAACATGGCACAGGCCGGGGAGTCCCCGAAAAGTTGGCACCGCAAAGAGAGCGTTAATCCCCCCTCCGGTTTAGGGTTTAGGGTTAGGGTTTCGGGTTTAGGGTTTAGGGTTTAGGGTTGGGTTTTCAAAAAAACATGGGTACCCGTTTAGGGGTCCCTTTAAGGGGATTCTATTGTATTTGGGTATCTTCGGGTCCCCCCTATTTTGGGAAATGCCCATTTTCACCTCCGCCCCACCCCCAATATTAAATGCTCCCATTATCGTTCTAGGGGGAGATATTTAATATTCGGGGGCAGGGGGGAGTTCAAATTTATGTCAAAAAGGGGAGGGTGTTACTTGGCTGGTGCGGGCGGCTTAAGGTTTTGGGTTTTGGGTGCAGGCGGCACTTATATCCCCAACTGTACGTGCACCTATAAGCTCCCCAAGTCCTCGAAGTTGGTTATAAGTAGATTGATAATTGGGGTGGCAAGTACCGATGAACCTCCAAGTATCCCCTACTATTAAATACTTGGAAAGTATTTCGTATTTGGGGTAGGGAGGGGCAGGGCTATTAGGGGCTAGCTGCTGTCAAGATTCCCTAAGTTCCCAAACCCTAAACCCCGGCTAAAGCCTCGAAAGCGCTAAAAGCCCTAACCGCCCCAAGACTTTATGTCAAACTCTCTGAACGCCCTAGATGCCCTGAAAGACACCCCAAGAGCCCAAGGGCCAAGGGCTGCTGGCCCCTAATACACAGACCCCCGCAAGGGTTTCGGGTTTAGGGTTCAGGCTTTTAGGGCTTAGGGTTTAGGGTTTAGGGTTTAGGGTTTAAAAAGTAGAAACCCCCACATGGTACCCATACTCCTACTGTGGTTAACTGGGTCATTCTTAGGAACCCTCAAGGGGATCTACTAAACCCTACAACCCTAAACTCTAAACCCTATTTTCAAGAACCCTGAAGGGGATCTACTAAACCCTCTGACCCTAAACCCTAAACCCCCCCCTTTAAGAACCCTTAAGGGGGATCATCTTTGTGGGTCCTCCCAGGGCATCTGGGTAGCCACTCATAATCGCACCGACGAAAAGTGCAGGCCGTGGAAGATGCAGAAGCTGCTAAGTTGGCACCGCAGGCGCGCCAAGTAGCACCGGCTTGTTTTTTGGTTTAGGGTAAACCCTAAACCCTAAACCCTAAACCCCAAAACCCCAAACCCCAAAACCCAAACCTACATAAGGGTCTCCGTTTTTGTTCACCCATGAAGCTACCCGAAGTAGCTGGGAGACTTGAGGTCATCGAGTGGCCACTGAACCTGAGCACTCTCAGTGACCCCAAGATTCGCGCCGAGCCTTGACAGGGATTGTGGAAGATTGGGCTTAGGGTTTCTAGGGTTTACAGGGTTTATAGGGTTTATAGGGTGTATAGGGTTTACAGGGTTTACAGGGTTTATAGGGTTTCTAGGGTTTACAGGGTTTACAGGGTTTATAGGGTTTATAGGGTGTATAGGGTTTATAGGGTTTATAGGGTTTACCGGGTTTTTAGGGTTTATAGGGTTTCAAGGCCTTATAGGGTGTGTAGGGTTAAAAGGGTTTATAGGGCTTATAGGCTTTATATGGTTTATGGGGTTTTGGGTTTTGGGGTTTGCAGAATGAAGGTTCCAAGCTGGGAGCCCCTGTCATAGAAAGGTGCCTCAAAATGTGACCCTAGTCTAGAACTAACTTCTACATATGGGGGAACCCTAAGATGGGGAAACCCTGAACCCTAAACTCTAAACCCTAACCCTAAACCCTAAACGCTAAACCCTAAACCCTAACTGGGGCTCTATTTTTTTGCGCCGTCTCATCACCATAGTCGAGGAGTTGGCGGTGCGACTGCAGGAGGTCATCGAGCAGAGCCAATGGGAAGTGTACGAAGACTAAGTGAGTGGATGCTGAGGGTCCCCATATTCTTGGCTGAAGGTGGATAGCCCTAAACCCTAAACCCTAAACCCTAAACCCTAACTTCAGACTCTCGGAGATCACAGCCAAGAAGTTTAGCGGGACCAGTGGTGTTTCAAAAGTGCGTGCTCCTAGGCCGAACAAGTGCACGGATCATCTGAGTCGCAGGGCCCACGCCTAAACTCCCACAGTGTTCCGAGAGACGGGTTTAGGGTTTAGGGTTTAGGGTTTTGGGGTTTAGGGTTTACCCTAAACAAAAAACCTTAAACCCTAAACCGCCAACAAACCTTAAGATCCTCAACGTCCCTGAGGCTGAAGCCCTAAGCCCTAAACCCTCTAGCCTATAAACCCGAGCCCAAACCCTCACCCTTCTACTCCAATCCCTCCCACTTTAGGCCTGGAACAGATGTACAAAAGCAGAAAGACCAAAGCAACCCAACTATGAGCCGGACATCTCACCGGAAGAACCCCGAAGCCCTAATCCAGCGAACCCTGGACCCCACAATTCACTTTGCAGACAACCCTATACCCTAAACCCTAACCCTAAACCCTAAACCCCGGTCTGTCCAATTCGGTCTCTTGAGATGAGCAGCGCGCCGTCCACGTCTCACTCGAAAGGTATAAGGTTTTCCAGTGGCCTACCAAATTTGTGGGATGTTTAGGGTTTAGGGTTTAGGGTTAGGACGGAATTAGAAGCATGCTTCTTCAGTATTAGGGAGCGCCCCTATTCAGACCTCAACGTCTTTTGGGTTTGTGTTGCAGGCCCTGGGGGGGGCGTTCGAGCGCCCCGGCCCAGAAGTAGAGTTCCACACTTTCTTGGGCCTGACTACGTGCGGGCTTGTGCCCTGAGCGCGTTCTCACTTCGAAGGGTAGTTGCATGGTCCCTTAGTATGCCCTTGACAGGGGACCCTTACATACCCCTTATATACTCTAAAAAAACAAAGGTAAGGGACCATCATTAAGGGACCGTGTAATTACCTTGGATGACTCCCCCTTTGAAAGCTTGAAGGGGGGGGGGGGGGCTTCCAGCCGCCTTTTTTTGGACGAAAATTGGCTAGGATGCCCAGTAGTACCAGTCTTCCCTCTTTGTCGGGTTTCGGTTCCCTTACAAACCCTCTGCAGCAAAAACTGGAGCACCCTCCACCCGAAACCCTAACCCCACACCCTAAACCCGAAACCCTAAACCCTAAACCCTAAACCCCAAACCCTAAACCCTAAACCCTAAACCCTAAACCCTAAACCCTAAACCCTAGGCTACTGGGCAGCCTAGTCGGGTTAAGAGGCTTCCTTGAAGTCCTATTAGCTGAGGGGATCCAGGCCCCATCTGCGGGTTCGGATCCGAAGCAAGCAGGGAACCTCGGCCTTCCTCTTGATTAGGGTTTAGGGCTTAGGGCTTAGGGTTTAGGGTTTAGGGTTTAGGGTTTAGGGTTTAGGTTTAGGGTTAGGGTTTAGGGTTTAGGGTTTAGGGTTTAGGGTTTAGGGTTTAGGGTTTAGGGTTTAGAAACGACTGGTGCTCACGTCGAGCACCTCTCGGAGGGGGGGGCCCCCAGGGACTGCTTGCAGCAATCGGAACAAACATGCCAATATGGGTAGTTCTCTGCAGAAGGGTCCCTTTCTACGCGTAGTTCTTGGGATGTTCACCCAAGTATACCTGACAATACCTGACAGCCCTTAATGGGGATGATAGTACCCCCTACTGTGATCCCTATTAAGGACTGCTCTTCGGAAGAAGGGGAACATCTTCAGGAGGGTCCCCGTTCCAAGAAGTATGGCACCTTTTTCAAAAAGGACCCCTACAACTAGAGAACCTACCCCCCAATATTTTCCAGGTCTGCTTGGATGAGTGCAAGTCAAAGAGTGGCGGGAGTCTCTGCGCCGAGGCCTAGAAACCCATCCCGAAATCCTGACCCTAAACCCTAAACCTTAAACCCTAAACTCTAACCCTAAATCCTAAGCCCTAAACCCTACACCGAAGATAAGCTCTTGGATCAGACAGGTCTTCAGGAAAGGGCCCCCGGGGAACCCCAAGGGTCTGCCATCCTCCGCAAAAACGTCCCACCCCCACGCTAAGATTGTGTGTTCCATACCAGACTAAGCTAGACTCTACCGTGATGGAATGCTAGCGTCTTTTGAAGACTATTTCAAATTATAAGCTGGGAAGATGATCAACAGAGCATGGAAGTACCACCCGCCCCATCGCCACACCTGAATTAGTCAAAGTCGTATGCAAAAGCCTGATGGCAGAGTCCTGTCACGGATGCAGGGGCCTGTGATTGCCCTCTGATTTTTTCTCAATCTCTCAGGGGGATTCTTGTCGTGGCCGGAGGCCCATCTTCTTCGGAGAGGTCATGCTGTCAGAAACCGATCAAGCAGCTTGCGTGAGGAAAAACGTGCGAAGTGCTTGCCATTGCAGTCCCCTCTTTGTTTCCGGCAGTGCCTGAATTGAAAAGCCCCGTGTGCCCCTCCTAGGAGCATTGTCTTCGCTGATTCCAAGTTGGGTTCGGCTAAGATGCGAGCTTCAGGGGTGCTTGAGAAACAGGAGTCCGAAATCCAAAAGCAAGCCGAGACCAAGAAAGGGTTCGGAAAATTTGCCAATAGTATTCCCTCATGGTCCCTACCTATAAATATACCATAAGAACCCCCAAAACCCCATTCTAATCATCAAGGCCCCTTTATTAGTCCCCAAGTCTTCCCCTGCTCAGGTCTTCCGAGGCCGCGCCCGACTCCGACAACTGATCCGTTGGCTTTTGCCGGGAATCCTAGCGGAGGAGGAGAGGGGAGGGGAGGGCCTTAGAGGCGTAGATGCCGGGCTCTTCGCAGCAAGGTGGCCAGGGGTTTAGGGTTTAGGGTTTAGGGTGTAGGGTTTAGGGTTTAGGGTTAGGGTTTCAGGGTTCAGGGTTCAGGGTTCAGGGCTCAGGGCTGGCGAGGTTTTGAGGGTAAGGGTGTTTGGGATCCACAGATCCACACCCACCATCCTCTCAGCTGTCGACCGCAGAGCCCCGATGTGTGTGCAAATGTCTGCAAACAGCCCCCGAACCGCAAAGCCAACGGAGAAGCAACATGCCCTAAACCCTAAACCCTAAACCCTCCAACCCTAAACCCTAAACCCTAAATAAACCCTAAACCCTAAACAGAACCAGGTGTCCCAGAAGCTGCCGGATGCGGAGACGCCCGCGGTAAAAAGCCGGAGACGCATTGGTGACGCTCAGCGCTTCCAGCATTGGGAGGTTCACCTTGGGGAGGACATGAACCCTAAAACGGGTTTAGGGCAAAGGGTTTAGGGTTTAGGGTTGGAGGGTTGAGGGTTCAGAATACCTGACTAGGAATTCTGGTAGTAGAGGGTATATAACCCCAATTTGAGGGCTCACTTGGTCCCCAAGGCAGGGAGTTCCCTTTCAGGTCCACCACCGGTGGGCTTAAGACTGGGCTGCGCAAGGATGCGAAACTTAGTCGGGTAGCTGGAGTGAGCGTTTTTGCTCGCCTACCCTCTGCTTCGGACAGCTGGGGTCTCAGGGTCCCAACACCAGGGAAGTGCAACAGACAAGCCTTCATCCTGCAAGATGTTTCATCTCAGAGTCCCAGAGCTCAATGTTTTCAGTTTCCTTCCCCCCCCCCCGCCATGCGCACATGCCACGTGAGTCTTGAGCCTGCAGTAGATCCAAAGTGACATGCCAGCCTCGAACCCGAGCCTTCACAGTCACTTGCTCTCACCACCCGACACCATGAGCTTGAATCAGGAAAGCATCGCAGCTCTTGAATTACTACTTCCACAGTGCCCAGCCATGGCGGTGAGGAACCCGCTGCATGCCGATCAGGCTCCAGCTTGTACGGCAAATGCGTGCTTAATGTGGCAGAGAGGAGCCAACCCCAGTTTGAGCATGTGTCAGCAGAGCCATGCCGGGGGCTGCAGCTTGTTTGAGTAACATGTGCAGCCGAGTACAGTCAGGCAACAAGTGGATGTCAATCAGACGTGAAGAAACCATCTGTTTTAGGGGGGAGAGCTGTTTCTCAAAAACTTCAACCCTAGACTCTAAACCCTAAACCCTGTTTGAGTGGATGCTGCAAAGGGGCGTCCCTGAAAAAAGGTGCCTTTTCGGGATGTTCCCCCCTTCTACTAACAGTCCTTAATCGGTTTTAGAAATCGGGGGGGTCTATAATCCCAATTGAGGACACTGCTAGTATAAGGGGGGAATATCCCAATTTGGGCAGCCCGGGAGGTCTTGAGACACAGCTTGGAGAAAGAGCTCGATCAATGGTGCTTCCAGCAACTAGGCAAGGCGGACTCGGGGCCTGGAATCCTGTTAACTCCGCAGCCCGGAAGTTTTAGGGTTTTTAGGGTTTCAGGGTTTAGGGCTTTTAGGATTTAGGGCTTAGGGTTTGGGGTTTAGGGTGCTGCTTAGGGTTTAGGGTGGCTTCCTGCTGCGCGCGGAATCCAGCATCACAGCCCTGCCCTCATGCCTTAAACCCTACACCCTAACCCGAAACCGTAAGCCTTATGCCCTCATGCCTGAAACCCTAAGCCTCCCCCCAAAAAGAAAGCTGCATCCCTCGATCCATGGCAGTTACTTGGCCAGTTTGCAAGCTCCAGTTTTGTGGGGGGTACTTGGAATTCTGCTGCCACATTTGCTCCATGACAAGATGACTACATGACTATGCTGATATTTCCGTTTTTCTTTCCATTAAACCTTAGTATTAAATACTTGCCGGACCTGAGGGTCTCACATTCGCCAGGCTAGGGGAGGTGTTGTGAAGGCTTTTGCTTTCAGAGTGAGCCCGAAAGCCCTAAAGACCTAAACCCCTAAGCCCCTTATGTCAGTTGACCCCAAACCCTAAACCCTAAACCCTGAACCCTGAACCCTGAACCCTAAACCCTACAAAACCTCCCCACTTCGGCCTCCGAAGCCCAGCAGGCATCTCCAAGCATGCATCCCTGGAAGCCTTGCGGACGCCCAAGGACGCAAAGCAGAAGCTGGAACCAAGGGGTTTAGGGTTTAGGGTTTAGGGTTTAGGGTTTAGGGTTTTAGGGGTTCATGGGGGATTTCAGGGAGGGTTTGTTTTCATGGGGTTTATAGGGTATTTCGGGGTTTTCATGGGGCATTATATAGGGTTTTGCATGGGGCTCATAGGGGATTGTTTTGGGTTTTTTTTTGCGTGGGGGTTTATAGGGGTTTAGGGCGTTTTTTCATGGGGTTTGTTTTCCATGGGGGGTGGGGGGGGTTATTAGGGGTTGTAGGGATGTTACAGGGTTCTTTCATGGAGGTTTGTAGGGGTTTAAAGGGCTTGTCGGGGGGGTTGAAAGGGTATTTTTTTGTTCGGGGAGGGAGGTCGGGGATTAAAGGGTTTGGGTGTTTAGGGTTTGTAGGGCTTGTAGGGTTTATGGAGGCTTGAGGTTGATTGGGGCCTGTTGGGTTTTTGAGTGTCGGGGTCGGTTTCGGTGCGAGATTTGAGTCAGGAAGCTTTAACTCATCGATCTTTACTCAAAGGGCCAACTTAGCAAAGAAGGCCGGGCTAGGGACATGGGGGCGGTGGTCATGCTTCAGGAGGTTTCAAGTTGCAGCGTTTTCAGTGGGGCTCTTTGAAAACCCTGAACGCCGGATTGAGACTCTGCGCGGGTTTAGGGTTTAGGGCTTGGGTTCAGGATGCCATGTGAGTGCACGATTTAGGGCGAGAGGAGGTTTCAGTCGCACGGGGGCTGCCCTTTTCTGCCCACAACTGACACAAGATCTTCGGGTTCCTTGATGATCTTCGCCGCTAGGATGAATAGTGTCAACACCCCATGGCCACAATTGTAGGGTCCCCACCAATACCACATGGACCTGCATTTTGGTTTCAAAAGAATCGAAACCCTCAACAATAAAACCCTAAACCCTAAAGTAGCCCTAAGCCCTAAGCCCTAAACCCTAAACCCTAAACCCTAAACCCTAAACCCTAACCCTAAACCCTGAACAAGCCTCAACCAACCATCCTCGGTCCAGGAGGCGGCCCTTCCCCATGTGCCCGCCGTGGGTCAGGATGCCGGGCCTCTTTGAGTGGGGGTTTAGGGTTTAGGGTTCAGGGGTTTAGGGGTTTTGGGTTTAGGGGTTTAGGGGTTCAGGGGTTTAGGGGTTTAGGGGTTTGGGGTTTAGGTTAGGGGCTTCGGGCCTATCAGGGCATTTAGGGTGTAAATCCATTATAAATTGCCGGGGGGTGATCCAAGTGACCTGTGGCAGGCCTTCACTTGGAGTTGCTCTCAAAAAAGCATCCCATTCTTGAGTTGCGTGCTCGTGCCATTCCCACCTCATGGTATTGCGGGGTGAGGTGAAACCTGCTGTGAGAGTGCGTGATCTGGATGCCCTCGCTGAAGAAGTTCTCCTAAGTTCTGCGACGGCCTCATGCGCCAGTGTGGGTGTGCTTCGCTTGGAGCCGGGTGATTTCTTTACTCTGCGCGTGGGCTTGGCCGGCAAGCGCCAGTTCAGCCGTGCGCAGTCGGAGGCTCTGAGTCATGGGCCAGTGGAGCCTGAAGATGCGAAGTTCGCCCTTGAGGTGTTTAAGGTGGTCTGTGCTGGAGATGGCGATGCCCTGATTGGCCTTATGGCGCCAGAGGCGTTGCAGCAGATCACGGAATCCCAGTGGCGAGCTGTTGCAGAGAGCACGGCAAGGTGCAGTTTCGAAGGAGAGCCTTGGCTGGTTGGCAAGGAGGATGGTTGGATCCTGGTGCGCCGGAAGATGGCATCTCATGGACTGATGGAGTTCAAAGTCGCTCTGGATGTCACTCGCCGAAAGGTGACCGGCATGCTTTTGGGGCAGGCGACCTCCAAGACGCTTGAGCCACTTGCTCCTGGAAGGGTGGTGAGCGAAGAGGAGGAAGCCTTGGCCCTCGACGTTGTGAACATCATGCTCGCTGGAAGGCAAGACGCGTTGGTGGCAATGCTCGCCCCTGAGACACTGAAGGCCATTCCGGAGTCGAAGTGGCGCGACTACGCCGTTTCGACTGCGGCGACTGTGACCGAAGGGCCGTCCCTCGAGGGAAAGCTGGACGGATGGCTGATCATACCTGTGAGAACATGCAGCAAACGCTTGGTGTTCAAAGTTGCCGTGGATGTCAGCACCGGACAGCTGTGCGGACTTACGCACGTTGATGAGATGCCCAGCATTCCTCCTGAGTGTCGGCACCACCCAGGCAGAGCGCACGAAAGCGAGCCCACCAGCGCCGTGCAGCTGGCCGACTGCTGGCATCTAGGTTCCTGCACGAAGTCCATCACTGCCACCTTGGCTGCAGTTCTGGTGGAGAAGGGCCACCTCTCATGGGAGCTGACGGTTGCTGAGGCACTCAAGAGTGATGCCCTGCTTGCCATGCAGAGTGGTTACACAGATGTAACATTGGAGATGTTGCTAACAAACCGTGGAGGCTGCTGGAATGTTTGCGACCCTGCCGCATGGGCATATGCCTGGACCCTGGATTCGGAAGGACGTTCAGGCCTTTCCCGACGCGAGCAGCGTCGGCGATACTTTGCAAAGGTTTTGGCGTTGGCGCCGCACACGGTTGGCATGTACGAGTACTCCAACGACGGCTTTGCCCTTGCCGGTGTCATGATGGAGACGATGCTAGAAACAGCGTGGGAAGACCTGGTGCAACGTGAGATCTTTGACCCTCTGGACATGACTACTGCGGGGTTTTATGCCATGGGGGCCAACGCCACAGATCGCACGGAGCGTCGAGCTTACATCTGGGGCACTCGTGACACTGGGGAGGCAGTTGATCCAGCTGTGCAAGGGGCTGACAACCCAGCAGCAATTGGGCCTGCTGGTGTCATCCATTGCTCACTGCAGGATATTGCACGCTACCTGGCTGTCCACGCCTCGCACGACTGCGCTGAGAGAAAGCTTGGCTTGTCCCAAGCAACCTGGAGAAGACTACACAGTATCCCTGTGAATGCAGACTATCCGTATGCATTCGGATGGCTCATCGCAAACACTGGGGGATCTATCCAGCATGGCGGATGCAACACGACCAATTTCATGCACCTAAAGGTATGGCCAGAGAGGGGTTTGGCCGTTGTCGCAACCTTGAATATGGGTCTTGCAGCCACGTCCATCGCCCCCGACATGGCAGAACGGGCTGTGGCAATGACAGAGCCCGTCGCCAGTCCCAACTGCTCAACCGCTTAGCCCTCTACGATTTGGCTGAGACAAATCTTCATGGGGTTTCAGGCTTAGGGTTTGGGGTTTAGGGGCATTTATAACCCCTTCATGACATGATAGGCTTCAGCGCACTAGGTTCGCAGGGGGGGTTCAGGGGCTAGGGATGAGAGCTTGGGAGCTTAGGTTGCAGAGTTCGGAAGCTGAATGTTATCTGCAAAACCCTGGTACTCCCCTCATGGTCTCCGCACCTCATTTACAAGGCTTGGCCCATGTTTTATACATTCCTTCATGAGTTGTTTTTTTTGTGTTAAGTGTTCAACAGGTTTGGTCCAGGTTCTGGTTGTTGCAAAGGTCGGAATACAAAACCGTCACCACGAAATGTGCAAAACAACGGCCACCGAAACTCCAGACTCTGAAGTCCGACCCCTGAACCCAAGTGTATATACGTATATACATATATGCATATATGTATACCAGATCATATCACATCACATCTATACTGCGTATATGTATATGTTTAGTTCCTGCTATAACGATATGTGCAAGTATGTGGGTTAAACCCTCATGTTTACATGCATACATTATATTGCAACACGTATCTTGCACACGCCCCAGCGACAAGAAAGCGTTCCAAGGTTGTTATCCAAGGATCCCGGCGGAGGCTGCGCATTCGGATTTTAGGGTTATAGGGTTTAGGGTTTAGGGTTTAGGGCTTAGGGCTTAGGGCTTTGCTTGCCCGGTGGCCTCGGCCTACCTTTCGCTTTTGCGACGCGCTGATTGAGCAGTCTTCCGTAATTCTTCTTGGGGGTTTGGGTTGAGGGTCGGGGGGGAGGGGGGGGGGGAGGGAGGCCGCAAGCCTTGAGTCAGACATGGGAGTTTCCGAAAGAAGGGGTACCTTATTAGGGTCCTTGTCAAAGGGGAATCCGACTATTTGGGGTCCATATTAGGTCCCTCATTTTCGTATTCCCCCATATGTATGTATGTATGTATGTATGTATGTATGTGGTTTGTCAGTGCATGGGACATGACGCCTGGGACTGCCCCAAAACGAAGCAGAGGTCGTAGCAAGAAGAGGCCATAATCCGAATCGTAGTCGCAATCGTCCTGCCATAGTGCAGAAGCACAACAACGTATGAACAGTACTGGTGAGAAACCTCACACCCTAAACCCTCAACCCTAGACCCGAAACCCTAAACCCTAAACCTGAAGATGTTCCCTCGACGCCTTCCTTCTCAGGCCAGAGCTCAACGGCCTCAGGGCCGAGGTCTTAGATGACAGCCAACCCCTCAGGTGCCCTTTGAGTGCGCTTTGGTGGCTCAAGAGTGTTTAGGGTTTAGGGCTTAGGGTTTTAGAGTCTTGAGGGGGGTTTATGTCAGGTATCTAGGTCTTTCAGGATTTTGCGGTTTGTTGTGATTTTTTCGAGGTTGCTTGGCAGGTTGTGTTGATGTGAGAGGTGCTCCCATGGCTCAATCAGGGGCTTTGGGTGAGTCAAACTTGAGCAGATTGTCCGAGCGTAGAAGACTTGAACTTCTGTTGCAACCTGTTTTCTTTAAAAAAGTGGCCATGCTTCAAAACTAGAATGCAGCCTCTGTTGGGCCTGTGGATTTTTGTTCCAGAAGTGTAATCCTGAGCGCTCCCAGCTGTGGTCTCGAAGCTTTGAGCACGAATTCCAGTCTAGGGTTGGGGTTTTACAGGTTTTGGGGTTTAGGGTTTGGGGCTCCTTGAGTCGAAATCGGAAACAAGAGAAGGTTCACGAATGCTGCCATGGAACCCTAAGCCCTAAACGCGACACCTTCAGACCTTGCTAGGGCTGACCAAGCTCAACCCTAGGTGTGGACAAGGCGGGGCGAGTGACCATCCGCGTCTTCCGCCCCGGTGACCTGAATCTTGGGCCAAGTTTCAGAGGATTTAAGGTTCAGGGTTGAGGGTTTCGGGTTTATGCAGTCGAAGAAACCCTAAACCCCAAGAGAGGTTGACTGGTTGTGTCACTTTGCAATGCTTTTTTCCAGAGCCAAGTTGCTCATCTCGACTCATCTTCTGGCGCAGGGCCCAGAAAGGTTTAGGGTTAAAGGCCCAGAAGTTTAGTGCTTTGAATTGATGAACAGCCGAGGAATCGCGAGGGCAAGGGCTCGCGAAGGCCTGGGGAAGGGCTGCAGGGTGGGATTTAGGGTTGAGGGTTTAGGGTTTAGGGTTTAGGGTTCAAGCACAGCTACCCTAAACCCTAAACCCTAAACCCTAAACCCTAAACCCTAAACCCTAAACCCTAAACCCTAAACCCTAAACCCTAAACCCGAGCCTTTAAGCCACCAGGATGCAGATCCGCGCTGCGCACCTGGCATCGCGGCGATCCGCGCCTTCTTTGCCATGGCCTTGGAGAGGGGTTTAGGGGCTTTGGGGTTTTGGGGTTTTGGGGGTTTCGTGGTTTTGTGGTTTTGGGGGTTTGGGGTTTTGCAGTTTAGGGGTTTAGGGGTTTAGGAGTTTAGGGGTTTAGGGGTTTAGGGGGACGCCCGGGTTCAAGGCTTCGGGAAGGCCCTGGACCTACGAGTCCTTCAAGACATGCAAGCTTGGAAAAACTTACTTTGCCAATAGTTGCTCTTTAAACCTTTCGGGCTTCCTAATTATTGGGGAAGTATGAAGAGGCACGCAACTGCGTGCATTCCAGCTCAGGGAAGGGAAGGGATATAGGCAGTCCATTGACGTTTTCAAGCGCTGGGCGCGAGCTTCAGCAAACCAGATGCGAAAGGGAGCACCCTGTACCCAAGCCCTAATGGCCATGCGCCGAACACCACAGACCCTGAGCGCAGATCGGGTTCACGTCTCCCTGAGCTCGAAACCTTCAACCTCGGGAAGTCTACACAAGTCGATAAACGTTATATGCTCAGGGCGGGACATGGACTCTCTCGCCCTGTATGAAGGGATGTGCAGGCAGACCACGAATCTGGAGGGTTGCTGCTTTTAGCATCTCAACCCCAGAAAGGACGTCTCATTTGCAGAGGCATTCCCCAACCCTAAGCGCCATGTGCTTGCATCCGGCTCTTCCAGGACCCTAGCCCAAAATCCTAGATGACAGAAGCAACAGTGGCCACATCTTCTTGAGAGCTTTAATCGTGCTTATGGCCTAGAGCAAGGGCCCGAAGGTCCCAAGTCGCTTCGATGCTTGCTCTCCTCAAAAGTCTTCCAGACTTGGGTGCTACCACACGTTAGCCCTTTTGTTGGTGAAGTCTCGGCTCCGACAAGAGACCGACGAAGGGTTCAGGGTTTTAGGGTTTTAGGGTTCAAAGGGTTTTAAGGGTGGGAACTGTATATCCATACCCCCCAAGCTGTAGACAGCTCAAGTCCAAGCTTCGCAGAAACTTTCGGGGCCTCCAGCCCCGAAACTCTAAGGGCCCTTCGTCTGGTCCCTGACCCTTGTTAATCGGGATCCGAAGTTTGGGCCCGCCCTCATTACATACGCTATTATCTCTATCGTGTTTTATATAAGGGTTATGTAATACAGGATCCGCATCAAGGGCCCATACTTGGAACACCAGATAAACTTATCGGGTTTTGGGCTTTCGGGTTCCCATCCACGTCTGAGGTCAACAGCTGGTGCATCCGCAGCCTACGTCGGGTCTCAGGCGGGCCCACACAGGGCAAGGGTTCAGGCTTTGTTGTTGGTTGAACTTGGGGGTTTAGGATCAGCTGGCATCCTGGAAATTCGGAAGCAGTTGCTCCCCAATCCATGTATACCATGTGAACCCGAACCGCGAGTGTTTTAAAGGTTCGGAATCTTGTGGGGGCTCCTGGTAAGGGGTTGGTGGGCCTCAAATCGGGTGTCTCGGCTTTCCCGAAACCCTCACTCGGGAGGTGGATTTCTTGGCACACTCCATTCCCAAACCTCTATTCCCTTTGCATTTTGAGAGGAAATCGTTCCCTTCCGTAGGTTTTTTGACTAGAAGAAGAAAGAGAGAAAAAGAAAGAAAAACAAGAAAAGAAGAACCACCACGCTTCCCTCCCAACCCCCCCTTGTTTTAAGCCATGCAAGCTTGCTTCAAAGCATATGAGGCTTTTTGAAACCCATCAAGCTAGCACTGTGTTTGCAAATGGGAGGGCTGCGCCCTGCTTGTTTAAGCCACGCAAGCTAGTTTCAAAGCATATGAACGATTGAAACCCATCATGCGAGCATTGTGTTTGCAAATTGGGGGGGTGCCCCCAACGCCCCGCTTCCCCCCAACTCCCGCCGCTTTCTCTAGCCATACAAGCTTGTTTCAAAAATATAAGTCTTTTTTAAGCCCATCATGTGAGCTCTTTGTCTGCCCCCCAACCCCACCCGTTGTTGAAGCCATGCAAACTTGCTTCAAACATATGAGTCGTGTTGAAACCCAGCGTATGGAGTTTGCAAATGGAGGGCGGTGTTGTATTTACTTAGCCCTGGCTGCAAGGGCTCATAGCCACGGCAAAGCAAAAAGAAAGCTCCTGCCAAGTTTGTAGGATTTTTTTTTCTGGGGCCTAGCTGAAAGAGACAGCCACGGCTAAGTACATGCAAACTGACTCGGATTTTCATCGTGAGATCGCTTCTAATCATGGAACACGCGGCCGAGCTTTGAATGCGTCACTTCAACAACAGACCTGTGAGTCCGTGGCGGAAAGTTGACATTCGCGTTTTGTCAATCACCCTTTCGGCGGGACTGAGGTAAGAAGGATTCTCCCACTTGTGTGGGGAGTTGAGGGGTATGTTTCAGGATGTTTAGGTGAGGGGTGTAGGGCTTGTGGCTTACTGGAATCTTTCTTCGTGTTCGTAGCTACTTCATGAGGGGAGGCCTTGGATGCATAGGGGCCGGCATGGCGTATCTGCGCGGCGAACCGCAACACCAACAAGCAACTGTGTCCCTGACATGCTAGCTTCCTTTTCTTTACTCCTTTAACAAAAAGGGGGGGGAACCCTTTGTTGGTTGCTCTTGGGTCTAGCATCTGATGGGCTTCAACAAGTGGCCAGAAACCTTTTTCAGTTTCAGCCCTCCTTGAAGGCTCCTGCCAGCCGGCCATGACTGTGAAGAATCCGGACTGCATCGAAGGAGGGTCTGAAGGGTTGAGGGTTTTAGGGTTCAGGGTTTAAGGTTTAGGGTTCACGAGTTAAGGGTGTTGGGCTTAGGGCTTCGGCTGTGCAACTTCTTTTGATGCTTTGGCATGGCAGGGTGCGTGTTGGCTGGTTGCCTGGGATGCCGAAAGGCCGTCTTCATCGCCCCAAGCGCTCATTCGGGTTAAGGTTTGAGGGTTTAGGCTTCAGGGCTCAGCCCTGACACTCAACAATTGCGAACTCCGAACAAACATGCGCGCAGAACAACAAGATGACTCGGAATCCAAACGTGAGCTGTTTCCAGGCAAATGTTGAGACGCCACTTGCTGGCAAGCTTCTACTTGTGCTTGTGCCCTAAACCCTAGCCGCCCTAGCCCTAAACCCTGAACCCCAAACCCGAACCGCGAGAATTTGAACTAAACCCCAAACTGCAGGTAACTGTGTGTGTGTGTCGGCTCCAACCCCACAAGAAGATCCACTCCTGGGAGGACGGCAGAGATGCAGAGAGTGGCTGAGCGGTTGCCAGCAGGGCTCTCTCTCCTCAGAGGGTTTACGGTTAAAAGTAGGGTTTAGGGTTTCGGTGTTCGGGGGTTTAGGGTTTCGGGTTACGGGGGTTTAGGGTTTCGGGGTTTCGGCTTTCGGGACTTTAAGGTTTCACAATAAACTTTTCAGGCAACAGACTGCAAAATGCAGTTCCGGAGCTCGGAAGTATTTCGAATTGAAAATGCGATCCACAAATCAACGTTGGGAAAATGAGTTATCTTATCATATCTTCGAAAGCAAAGAAGCCTTGGATATAAGGTCTGATGCGAAGTTTGGTCCCTTTTTATATATTCTCAGGGCGGACTAGATGCGTAAGGG